TCCGAGTTCAAATCTCGGTGGAACCTTGCTTTTTGAAACAGATGTTATTGACACCTATCAAGACGTACATGTAGAATTCGAAACTTGTAAGAGTTTGAAAATGAAGAGAGAATTTAAAAGCATTAAAGATAAGAATATTAATTCTATGAATATAAAAATAACAAGGTTCTTTCGAGACAAACGGATTTATTTAAATGATTTTAACGGATTTGAAAATTTCTGTTGATTAGTTCATTTTCCTTCATGCTTAAATTACCTTTCCGACGACCTATTTCAAAAGAATATTGAAAAAGAAACACATAGATCGTAAGTTACATTACGTTGTAACGATTTTCACATCCAGTGTCTCTATAATCACGAAGGATGATAATGTCTTCTAAAAAAAATTTCATGTCCCGCTACGTGCACAAATCCGTATTTGTAGGAAGTTGATTGAAAAAATATAACACAAACAGTTTCGTTGCAATGAAAATATTTCCTTTCGTCCCCGAGCCTCGGTAGCGCAGTAGGCAGCGCGTCAGTCTCATAATCCGCAACTTTGAGAAATCTGAAGGTCGTGAGTTCGAACCTCACCCGGGGCATTTTGTTACTGTTTTGGAGCCGTCTTAGCTTGAAGCGTCTGTCTCGAGCAATTACTATTTGAGAAATGTTTTTGATATCGAAATATTCAATATTCACCTTTGATTATTCGACTCTAAGCAATGGACTGTTCTTTTCTCTTTAAAATTCAAAGTCTTATATATTTCGCGAAAGATGGTGTAAAAAATATTTGTTTCGGTAAACATTGTTTTAAAAGTAAAAAAGTGACGTTTTTTGATAAAAATACTTCAACTGTTTAAAAGAATTAGATAAAGAAATAAAGACATTGCATTTTCACAAAACTCCGAATGTACTTGAAAGGAAATGTACTTGAAGTCCCATGTGGTCTAGTGGTAAGGGTTCCTGGCTCTCACCCAGGTGGCCCGGGTTCGATTCCCGGCATGGGAAGTTTGGGTTCCATGGTGTAACGGTTAGCACTCTGAACTTTAATCCAGCGATCCGAGTTCAAATCTCGGTGGAACCTTTATTGCTTTTAGATACGACAATAAAGTGGGAGTTGTCACCTCTGAGGAAGAGTTTATCCAAATCCGGAATCTGAAAGAAAACTTGATAAGGGTGATATTTTTTAATGTGAAAAAGGCTTGTATAGTAAATTCCTGTTCCAATGAACGCAGTACGAAGCGAAAATTTGTAAATGATTTTTCTATTGTAAATTTAAAGTTTGTGTGAATTTCATCTGCATCGAGAGAAAGTGAAATCATGCAAAATAAAATACGTTTCTCTATTCAGTCCATGCGTCCTCAAATTCCACTTAAAAATGTTTCTTTCGAGAAGAATTAAAACCAAACTTTTATAAAAACAATTATAATGCTGATGTGCAAAGATAAGAACAATTCGAATTGAGACGTTGTTTGATCGTTCCTAGAGTCTCCCATGTGGTCTAGTGGTTAGGATTCCTGGCTTTCACCCAGGCGGCCCGGGTTCGATTCCCGGCATGGGAAATAAGGGTTCCATGGTGTAATGGTTAGCAATCTGTACTCGGATTCCAGCGATCCGAGTTCAAATCTCGGTGGAACCTTTATTGCTTTTAGATACGACAATAATGTGGGAGTTGTCACCTCTGAGGAAGAGCTTATCCAAATCCGGAATCTGAAAAAAAACTTGATAAGGGTGATATTTTTTAATGTGAAAAAGGCTTGTATAGTAAATTCCTGTTCCAATTAACGCAGTACGAAGCGAAAATTTGTAAATGATTTTTCTATTGTAAATTTGTGGCCGCGGTGGCCGAGTGGTCTAGGCATCGGATCATGGCTAGTTTGTCATGGGTTCGATCCTAGTACCACTAAAGATCCGCCGTGTAGGGGAGCGATGCACGTTAAATCTGTCGAGAGCTCAAACGTCCTCCCGTTGGTGTGGTGTGGTAGTTAGGAGAGGGGGTGCCAGCTCAGGTGTCGTCCGCGTCACTTGACCATGGTTCAAAATTACGCTGACCGTCCCCAAAATGCCCTCGTGTAGCTGAACAGTGGGACGTTAATATTCATTCACTCACTCACTCTATTGTAAATTTAAAGTTTGTGTGTGAATTTCATCTGCTTCCGGAGAAAGTGAAATCATGCAAAATAATATACGTTTCTCTATTCAGTCCACGCGTTCTCAAATTCCACTTAAAAAGTGTTCTTTCCAGAAGAAATAAAACCAAACTTTTATAAAAACAATTATAATGCTGATGTGCAAAGATAAGAACAATTCGATTTGAGACGTTGTTTGGTCGTTCCTAGAGTCTCCCATGTGGTCTAGTGGTTAAGATTCCTGGCTTTCACCCAGGCGGCGCGGGTTCGATTCCCGGCATGGGAAATATGGGTTCCATGGTGTAATGGTTAGCAATCTGTACTCGGCTTCCAGCGATCCGAGTTCAAATCTCGGTGGAACCTTGCTTTTTGAAACAGATGTTATTGACACCTATCAAGACGTACATGTAGAATTCAAAACTTGTAAGAGTTTGAAAAGGAAGAGAGAATTTAAAAGCATTAAAGATAAAAAATATTAATTCTATGAATATAAAAATAACAAGGTTCTTTCGAGACAAACGGATTTATTTAAATGAGGTTAACGGATTTGAAAATTTCTGTTGATTAGTTCATTTTCCTTCATGCTTAAATTACCTTTCCGGACGGCCTATTTCAAAAGAATATTGAAAAAGAAACACATAGATCGTAAGTTACATTACGTTGTAACGATTTTCACATCCAGTGTCTCTATAATCACGAAGGATGATAATGTCTTCTAAAAAACATTTAATGTCCCGCTACATGCACAAATCCGTATTTGTAGGAAGTGGATATAAACGATATAACACAAACAGTTTCGTTGCAATGAAAATATTTCCTTTCGTCCCCCTTGCCTCGGTAGCGCAGTAGGCAGCGCGTCAGACTCATAATCCGCAACTTGGAGAAATCTGAAGGTCGTGAGTTCGATCCTCACCCGGGCATTTTGTTACTGTTTTGGAGCCGTCTTAGCTTGAAGCGTCTGTCTAGAGCAATTACTATTTGAGAAATGTTTTTGATATCGAAATATTCAATTCACCTTTGATTATTCGATTCTAAGCAATGGACTGTTCTTTTCTCTTTAAAATTCAAAGTCTTATATATTTCGCGAAAGATGGTGTAAAAAATATTTGTTTCGGTAAACATTGTTTTAAAAGTAAAAAAGTGACGTTTTTTGATAAAAATACTTCAACTGTTTAAAAAAAATCGATAAAGAAATAAAGACATTGCATTTTCACAAAAATCCGAATGTACTGGAAGGGAGTCCCATGTGGTCTAGTGGTAAGGATTCCTGGCTCTCACCCAGGCTCTCACCCAGGTTCGATTCCCGGCATGGGATGTTTGGGTTCCATGGTGTAACGGTTAGCATTCTGGACTTTGAATCCAGCGTTCCGAGTTCAAATCTCGGTGGAACCTTTATTGCTTTTAGATACGACAATAATGTGGGAGTTGTCACCTCTGAGGAAGAGCTTATCCAAATCCGGAATCTGAAAAAAAACTTGATAAGGGTGATATTTTTTAATGTGAAAAAGGCTTGTATAGTAAATTCCTGTTCCAATGAACGCAGTACGAAGCGAAAATTTGTAAAAGATTTTTTTATTGTAAATTTAAGTTTGTGTGAATTTCATCTGCTTCCAGAGAAAGTGAAATCATGCAAAATAATATACGTTTCTCTATTCAGTCCATGCGTTCTCAAATTCCACTTAAAAAGTTTTCTTTCCAGAAGAAATAAAACCAAACTTTTATAAAAATAATTATAATGCTGATGTGCAAAGATAAGAACAATTCGATTTGAGACGTTGTTTGGTCGTTCCGAGAGTCTCCCATATGGTCTAGTGGTTAGGATTCCTGGCTTTCACCCAGGCGGCCCGGGTTCGATTCCCGGCATGGGAAATATGGGTTCCATGGTGTAATGGTTAGCACTCTGGACTCTGAATCCAGCGATCCGAGTTCAAATCTCGGTGGAACCTTGCTTTTTGAAACAGATGTTATTGACACCTATCAAGAAGTACATCTAGAATTCGAAACTTGTAAGAGTTTGAAAAGGAGGAGAGTATTTAAAAGCATTAAAGATAAAAATATTAATTCTATGAATATAAAAATAACAAAGTTCTTTCGAGACAAACGGATTTTTTAAATGAGTTTAACGGACTTGAAAATTTCTGTTAATTAGTTCATTTTCCTTCATGTTTAAATTACCTTTCTGAACGGCCTATTTCAAAAGAATATTGAAAAAGAAACTCATAGATAGTAAGTTACATTACGTTGTAATTATATTCACATCCAGTGTCTCTATAATCACGAAGGATGATAATGTCTTCTAAAAAAAATTTAATGTCCCGCTACATGCACAAATCCGTATTTCAAGGAAGTGGATTGAAAAGGTATAACACAAACAGTTTCGTTGCAATGAAAATATTTCTTTCGTCCCCCGAGCCTCGGTAGAGCAGTAGGCAGCGCGTCAGTCTCATATTTCGCAACTTGGATAAATCTGAATGTCGTGAGTTCGAACCTCTCCCGGGGCATTTTGTTACAGTTTTGGAGCCGTCTTAGCTTGAAGCATCTGTCTCGAGCAATTACTATTTGAGATATGTTTTTGATGTCGAAATATTCAATTCACCTTTCATTATTCGACTCTAAGCACAATGGACTGTTCTTTTCTCTTTAAAATTCAAAGTCTTATATATTTCGGGAAAGATGGTGTAAAAAATATTTGTTTCGGTAAATATTGTTTTAAAAGTAAAAAAGTTACGTTTTTTGATAAAAGTACATCAATTGTTTAAAAGAATTAGACAAAGAAATGAAGACATTGCATTTTCACAAAAATCCGAATGTAGTTGAAGGGAGTCCCATGTGGTAAGGATTCCTGGCTCTCACCCAGGCGGCTCGGGTTCGATTCCCGGCATGGGAAGTTTGGGTTCCGTGGTGTAACAGTTAGCACTCTGGACTTTGAATCCTTCGATCCGAGTTTAAATCTTGGTGGAACCTTTATTGCTTTTAGATACTACAATAATGTGGGAGTTGTCACTTCTGAGGAAGAGCTTATCCAAATCCGGAATCTGAAATTAAACTTGATATTTTTTATTGTGAAAAAGGCTTGTAGAGTAAATTCCTGTTCGAATGAACGCAGTACCAAGCGAAAATTTGTAAATGTTTTTTCTATCTTAAATTTAAAGTTTGTGTGAATTTCATCTGCTTCCAGAGAAAGTGAAATCATGCAAAATAAAATACGTTTCTCTATTCAGTCCATGCGCCCTCAAATTCCACTTAAAAATGTTTCTTTCGAGAAGAATTAAAACCAAACTTTTTTATAAAAACAATTATAATGCTGATGTGCAAAGATAAGAACAATTCGAATTCAGACGCTGTTTGGTTGTTCCTAGAGTCTCCCATATGGTCTAGTGGTTAGGATTCCTGGCTTTCACCCAGGCGGACCGGGTTCGATTCCCGGCATGGGAAATATGGGTTCCATGGTTTAATGAATAGAACACTGAATCCAGCGATCCGAGTTCAAATCTCGGTGGAACCTTGCTTTTTGAAACAGATGGTATTGACACCTATCAAGACAGACATGTAGAATTCGAAACTTGTAAGAGTTTGAACAGGAGGAGAGAATTTAAAAGCATTAAAGATAAAAATATTAATTCTATGAATATAAAAATAACAAGGTTCTTTCGAGACAAACGGATTTATTTAAATGTGGTTAACTGATTTGAAAATTTCTGTTGATTAGTTCAGTTTCCTTCATGCTTAAGGGAACCGAGGGTGATAAACCTTCAAAAAATCGATTTTTCAATTTTCATCTTAAAAAAAAGTAGAGTTAATGCTGATTCCAAAAATGTATAACATGCATAGGTTTAAAGCTTAATATCTGAGTAATTGCGGTTTTAAAATGTAAACAACAGCTGCCACACCTGTTGTTTACGTTATCGTACATCAACTGCCACGCCCATCTTTCAGTAACCGAAACATATGCTTTTATGTAGATTGTAGATTGGTATTTTAATATCACTTAATCTGGATATATTTATTTTATTCTTGTGGTTTGAGAAGGAATATAACTACTCAACTCAATCTTGTTTATAACACAAGCTGTGCGAAATTTAAAGAATGTTGTTTCCTTATGCTTGAGATACAAACACGTGAGTTACGAACTTCATATTTTCACTGCTTATTTACTTTTTCTTGTTTACTTTCTGTTTGTTTGTGATTTGTAAGTATTTTAAATATTTGCAATGCCTCGAACAAAGAAATTTGGATATCAGAAACGTCGTCTGATTCGTAAAAAAAACTTCAGTATGTGTAATGAGTGAAAAATGTGATGTCAGCTCTTCCAAAAAAAAGATTGAGAAGATTAAAGGATATTTTGACTATGAAGATAACTTTTCAGCTGAATCTCAAAGCAGGTTTGTTATTATTGACTTAAATATGCTTAATGATATTTTCAACAATATTGCAAAATGCAGATATTGCGATAGACTTTCTGCTTTGATGTTGCTGAAAATAAAAGTAGTCGCAGAGGACTTGCTAGCAGTATATCAGCAACTTGCAAGTATTGTGGCTCTAGTCATGGCTCAATGACTTCAAATTCTGTGCCAGCAGGATATGAAGTAAATTTGAGGTTTGTTTATGGTATGAGATGCATTGGAATTGGAAAAAGTGCAGCTCAGACATTTTGTGCGCTGATGAACTTGCCTCCTCCTCCAGCTAAATTTGAAAGACTTTATACGCCATTTTTTAATGCGTTGGAAACTGCTTCATCACGTTCAATGGTTAGCAGCGTTAATGAAGCTGTTATTGCAAACGAAAACAATAAGGACGTAGCAATTGCTCTTGATGGACCTGGCAAAAAAGAGGACACACGTCAAAAAATGGCGTTGTTACGGCAACTTCTCTCGATAACGGAAAAGTTGTTGATTTTGAGTGCCTATCAAAATATTGTTTTGAATGTAAGAACAAAAACAAAACCTGTGATAATTGCCAGGCAAACTATCATGGATTTAGTGCGGGAATGAAGAGTGAAGGAGCATTGCGGATTTTCAATCGCTCAGTACCAAATTAAGATGTTCGGTATGTTCAGTACCTTGGAGATGGAGATTCGAAGGGGTTTCTTAGGGTTCAAGAGTCCAACATATACGGTGATGATGTTCCGATTGAAAAATTGGAGTGCATCGGCCACGTCCAAAAAAGGATGGGATCAAGACTGAGAGCTCTAAAGAACAGTTTAAAATCCACCAAGCTGTCAGACAATAAAGCAATATCTGGACGAGGAAGGCTGACAGATGCAGAAATTCTTTTGCTGCAAAAATACTATGGCCTAGCCATAAGAAGAAATGTTGGGAAATCAGTCGCAGATATGTCCAAATCCATCTGGGCAATATATTTCCATAAACTGTCGACAGATAAAAATCCACAACTTGGTTTGTGCCCTATGGGAGAAGAAAGTTGGTGCGGGTACAACAAAAGCCTTGTATCTAGTGAAAAGTACACCCACAAACATTCCCTCCCAGAAGCAGTTCTTCTTAAAATTAAAAAAAATATTTAGAGATTTAACTGCGAAAGAACTTTTATTAAAATGTCTGCATGGCCGAACTCAAAACCCCATCGAAAGCTTTAATAACTGTGTGTGGAATCGTGTGCCAAAAAACACATTTGTGAGCAAAAAAACTTTGCAAATGGGTGTTATGGACGCAGTTATATGTTTCAATGAAGGTGCATACGCAAGAACAGAAGTATTAAAAGCACTGCAAATAAATCCAGGTATCAATACTTGTGGAGGCCTTCGTAAAATTGACTACGTCAGAATTTGTGAAGCCGAGATGAGTATCCAAAAAGCTACCAAAGAAGCCAGGACAACTAAACGGCAAATTAAAAGGAAGCAGGTTCCTTAGAAGAGTCTATGCAAGATGAGTACAGTGCTGTGGAATGTTCTAAAAGTCAAATTTTAGGTAAGTGTACCAGTTTATTTAGTTTTTCCATTTTTCTCAAAACGTGTTTTTTCAGTTTTTAGGTACATGTGTAGAAAAATCTATTTATTATATTTTTTTGAAACTTGGTATGATCTTTTCTATCATGATAATGCATTTAATGCTTCTAATTTCCTTCCTAAAATGTTTGTATTTTTACTTTTATTGTTGAATTTGTAAAAAAAAAATGACATTTTTATCAAAATTTCAAAAAGTCATAATTCAAAATTTTTTTTAAAAATTCTGAACAAGGTAGTATAAAATTATTTAGTGCATTTAAATAAACGTACAATTTTGTAACTAAAGCAGCATGTTTTGTGGTGTTATATGTTATAAAAATAAAGATACATATACCTAATGAACACCATGTATACGAAAAATCCTTTTGGTGTGTACTTTTTCGAATCCTTATATTTCTTAAAATATTTTAAAAATTAATAATTTATGTTGTAGTATATTAAGAAAAGTATATAGGTTGTATGACATAATTTTTTTATTTACGAAGTCTTTCTGTTTTTGAAAATAATGTTCTTTTGAAAAGCCAAATTTTGCTCGTTTTGCTTCATCGAGGACGTCCCGGTTCCCTTAAATTACCTTTCCGAACGACCTATTTCAAAAGAATATTGAAAAAGAAACGCATAGATCGTAAGTTACATTACGTGGTAACGATTTTCACATCCAGTGTCTCCATAATCACGAAAGATGATAATGTATTCTAAAAAAAATTTAATGTCCCGCTACGTGCACAAATCCGTATTTCAAGGAAGTGGATTAAAAAGATATTACACAAACAGTTTCGTTGCAATGAAAATATTTCCTTTCGCCCCCGAGCCTCGGTAGCGCAGTAGGCAGCGCGTCAGTCTCATAATCCGCAACTTGGAGAAATCTGAAGGTCCTGAGTTCGAACCTCACCCGGGGCATTTTGTTACAGTTTTGGAGCCGTCTTAGATTGAAGCGTCTGTCTGGAGCAATTACTATTTGAAAAATGTTTTTTATATCGAAATATTCAATTCACCTTTGATTATTCGACTCTAAGCAATGGACTGTTCTTTTCTATTTAAAATTCAAAGTCTTATATATTTCGGGAAAGATGGTGTAAAAAATATTTGTTTCGGTAAACATTGTTTTAGAAGTAAAAAAGTGACGTTTTTTGATAAAAATACTTCAACTGTTTAAAAAAATTAGATAAAGAAATAAAGACATTGCGTTTTCACAAAAATCCGAATGTACATGAAGGGAGTCCCATGTGGTCTAGTGGTTAGGATTCCTGGCTCTCACCCAGGCGGCTCGGGTTCGATTCCCGGCATGGGAAGTATGGGTTCCATTGTGTAACGGTTAGCACTCTGGACTTTGAATCGAGCGATCCGAGTTCAAATCTCGGTGGAACCTTTATTGCTTTTAGATACGACAATAATGTGGGTGCCGTCACCTCTGAGGAAGAGCTTATCCAAATCCGGAATCTGAAAGAATACTTGATAAGAGTGATATTTTTTAATGTGAAAAAGGCTTGTATATTTAATTCCTGTTCGAATGAACGCAGTACCAAGCGAAAATTTGTAAATGTTTTTTCTATCGTAAATTTAAAATTTGTGTGCATGTCATCTGCTTCCAGAGAAAGTGAAATCATGCAAAATAACATACGTTTCTCTATTCAGTCCATGCGTTCTCAAATTCCACTTAAAAATGTTTCTCTCGAGAATAATTAAAACCAAACTTTTATAAAAACAATTATAATGCTCATGTGCAAAGATAAGTTTAATTCGAATTGAAACGTTGTTTGGTCGTTCCGAGGGTCTCCCATGTTTTCCAGTGGTTGGGAATCCTGGCTTTCACCCAGGCGGCCCGGGTTCGATTCCCGGCATGGGAAATATGGGTTCCATGATGTAATGGTTAAAACTCTGAATCCAGCGATCCGAGTTCAACTCTCGGTGGAACCTTGCTTTTTAAAACAGATGTTATTGACACCTATCAAGACGTACATCTAGAATTCGAAACTTGTAAGAGTTTGAAAAGGAGGAGAGTATTTAAAAGCATTAAAGATAAAAATAATTATTCTATGAATATAAAAATAACAAGGTTCTTTCGAGACAAACGGATTTTTTAAATGAGGTTAACGGACTTGAAAATTTCTGTTAATTAGTTCATTTTCCTTCATGTTTAAATTACCTTTCGGAACGGCCTATTTCAAAAGAATATTGAAAAAGAAACTCATAGATAGTAAGTTATATTACATTGTAACGATTTTTACATCCAGTGTCTCTATAATCACGAAAGATGATAATGTCTTCTAAAAAACATTTAATGTCCCGTTACGTGCACAAATCCGTATTTGTAGGAAGTGGATTGAAAAGATATAACACAAACAGTTTCGTTGCAATGAAAATATTTCCTTTCGTCCCCCGAGCCTCTGTAGAGCAGTAGGCAGCGCGTCAGTCTCATAATCCGTAAATTGGAGAAATCTGAAGGTCGTGAGTTCGAACCTCACCCGGGGCATTTTGTTACAGTTTTGGAGCCGTCTTAGCTTGAAGCATCTGTCTCGAGCAATTACTATTTGAGAAATGTTTTTGATGTCGAAATATTCAATTCACCTTTGATTATTCGACTCTAAGCAATGGACTGTTCTTTTCTCTTTAACATTCAAATTCTTATATATTTCGGGAAAGATGGTGTAAAAAATATTTGTTTCGGTTAACATTGTTTTAAAAGTAAAAAAGTGACGTTTTTGATAAAAATACTTCAACTGTTTAAAAAAATTAGACAAAGAAATGAAGACATTGCATTTTCACTAAAATCCGAATGTACTTGAAGGGAGTCCCATGTGGTAAGGATTCCTGGCTCTCACCCAGGCGGCCCAGGTTGAATTCCCGGCATGGGTAGTTTGGGTTCCATGGTGTAACGGTTAGCACTCTGGACTTTGAATCCTGCGATCCGAGTTCAAATCTCGGTGGAACCTTTATTGCTTTTAGATACGACAATAATGTGGGAGTTGTCACTTCTGAGGAAGAGCTTATCCATATCCGGAATCTGAAAGTAAACTTGATATTTTTTATTGTGAAAAAGGCTTGTATAGTAAATTCCTGTTCGAATGAACGCAGTACCAAGCGAAAATTTGTAAATGTTTTTTCTATCGTAAATTTAAAATTTGTGTGCATGTCATCTGCTTCCAGAGAAAGTGAAATCATGCAAAATAACTTACGTTTCTCTATTCAGTCCATGCGTTCTCAAATTCCACTTAAAAATGTTTCTCTCGAGAATAATTAAAACCAAACTTTTATAAAAACAATTATAATGCTCATGTGCAAAGATAAGTTTAATTCGAATTGAAACGTTGTTTGGTCGTTCCGAGGGTCTCCCATGTTTTCCAGTGGTTGGGAATCCTGGCTTTCACCCAGGCGGCCCGGGTTCGATTCCCGGCATGGGAAATATGGGTTCCATGGTGTAATGGTTAAAACTCTGAATCCAGCGATCCGAGTTCAACTCTCGGTGGAACCTTGCTTTTTAAAACAGATGTTATTGACACCTATCAAGACTTACATCTAGAATTCGAAACTTGTAAGAGTTTGAAAAGGAGGAGAGTATTTAAAAGCATTAAAGATAAAAATAATTATTCTATGAATATAAAAATAACAAGGTTCTTTCGAGACAAACGGATTTTTTAAATGAGGTTAACGGACTTGAAAATTTCTGTTAATTAGTTCATTTTCCTTCATGTTTAAATTACCTTTCGGAACGGCCTATTTCAAAAGAATATTGAAAAAGAAACTCATAGATAGTAAGTTATATTACATTGTAACGATTTTTACATCCAGTGTCTCTATAATCACGAAAGATGATAATGTCTTCTAAAAAACATTTAATGTCCCGTTACGTGCACAAATCCGTATTTGTAGGAAGTGGATTGAAAAGATATAACACAAACAGTTTCGTTGCAATGAAAATATTTCCTTTCGTCCCCCGAGCCTCTGTAGCGCAGTAGGCAGTGCGTCATTCTCATAATCCGCAACTTGGCGAAATCTGAAGGTCGTGAGTTCGAACCTCACCCGGGGCATTTTGTTACAGTTTTGGAGCCGTCTTAGCTTGAAGCGTCTGTCTCGAGCAATTACTATTTGAGAAATGTTTTTGATATCGAAATATTCAATTCACCTTTGATTATTTGATTCGACGCAATGGACTGTTCTTTTCTCTTTAAAATTCAAAGTCTTATATATTTCGGGAAAGATGGTGTAAAATATTTGTTTCGGTAAACATTGTTTTAGAAGTAAAAAAGTGACGTTTTTGGATAAAAACACTTCAACTGTTTAAAAAAATTAGATAAGGAAATAAAGACATTGCATTTTTTTCAAAAAGCTGAATGTACTTGAAGGGAGTCCCATGTGGTCTAGTGATTAGGATTCCTGGCTCTCACCCAGGCGGCACGGGTTTGATTCCGGGCATGGGAAGTTTGGGTTCCATGGTGTAAAGCTTAGCACTCTGGACTTTGATTCCAGCTCTCCGAGTTCACTTCTCGGTGGAACCTTTATTTCTTTTAGATACGACAATAATGTGGGAGTTGTCACCTCTGAGGAAGAGCTTATCCGAATCTGAAAGAAAACTTGATAAGAGTGATATTTTTTAATGTGAAAAAGGCTTGTATAGTAAATTCTTGTTCCAATGAACGCAGTACCATGCGAAAATTTTTAAATGATTTTTCTATCGTAAATTTAAAGTTTGTGTGAATTTCATCTGCTTCCAGAGAAAGTGAAATCATGCAAAATAACATACGTTTCTCTATTCAGTCCATGCGTCCTCAAATTCCATTAAAGTTAAACCAGCCTCTTGCAACAATCTGAATACTTCCCATAAGTGCTCTACATGGCGCTTAAAAGACGGAGATGAAATGATAACATTGTCCACGTAGCAGAAAGTGAAACGCCCGAGAACTGGTTTAAGGATTATCTCAATTGCCCTCTGAAAATTTGGAGCTGCCCCAGAAAGGCGAAATGGCATGCGAGTAAATGCAAAAGTACCATTTTTTGTAACAAATGCCGTCTTATGAATATCTTTGGGGTCTACCGCTATCTGAAAGTATCCGCTGCGTAAATCAAGTGATGACATAATTTCGGTGTGTGGAATATTAGTGATCAAATCATCAATTATTGGTAGCGGATATCGTGGTTACCTCGTGATCGCATTTAATTTTCTATAATCTATTGCGAACCTATAAGCTTCTGAGTCGTCTAACGGCAACCCGTTATTCTTCCGACATAAAAGAACTGGAGACGCGTAAGGCGATATTGTTGGAATTATAGTTCCATCGTCCAACATCTTTTTAACGTGGTAGTTAATGATACCCTGTTTGACCCTGTCATAGCGATAAGGCCTTGAAGAATCAGGAGGATTGTCACCTGTATCAATTTCATGACAAAACACATGCGTCAGACCTGGCTTATCTGAAAACAAGCCTTGAAATTCCTTAAACAAAATCTGCAACTTCTGTTTTTGCCCTGCATTTAACTTAGTCTTTGATAAATCTATCCGTACCGGTTCGTCCGAAATTGCCACTTTCTCAATCTGCGAGTCCGGAATGATTAACGATTTCGTAACAATATCAAAACCTATCTTTGCATGCGACATAAAATCAATGCCCAAGATGTATGGATATTGCATCTCAGCAATTACATGAAAATTCCCTTATCTTTATTCGTAACTCAACGGTTCCCAAATTTCTGCATTGCGATCCTTATGCCGTAACTACTTCCGCTGACGATTTCTTAATAGGACGAAAAGAAAATAATGATCGGTACGTCTCCTCCGAAATAAATGACTTCTCCGCACCTGTATCCCAGAGAACTTTTACAAACGTGTCATGTAAAAGAATTGGCACATATGGAAGATCAACTGATGATAACCGTAATGAATTAAGGGGTCTCAGGGGTGTTACCCTTTTTTTCGAATTTTCGAAAAAAATATATGTTGTTCTTCATTTTTTTTTCTGAACATTTTGATGCTAACCACGTGACAATACTCTAAAAACTTCGAAAGTTATTCAAAAAATTGCAAACAGCAACTTAGTCATAACAGCTTTTAAATGGACACATGCCACGCCCACTTATTCTTGATTTATGCATACGCTTCATTTTTCTGTTTTTAATAAGCCTCATGAAATATTTTAAGCGCTTGAGTTGATCAGAAGGAAGCCTGCAACTCAACACATTCATTCTGCTGTGTTTTGATTCTGTTGTGTTTACTTTAGTACACGTTTTTTTAAAACACTTATCTAAATTGAAGATATTTGTTGTTTTATACAAATAGCATTTTATTAATGGATACTCTGAAAAGATCATTGGGCAAACGCCCAAGAAAAGAATATTTAGAGGAAATAAATATTTAAAGGTAAGTGACTCACATGTTACAGATATGAAAGATACGAGGAAGTGTGCAGAAATGAAAAATACAAGTAAGTGTGCCGAAATGAAAAATGCTTCAAGTAAAACACTTTCAGGAATTCAGACTTCATTAAAGCCAAATCTTGTTAAGGTAAGTGAAAACTTCAAAGGATATCGTATTTTTTATTTTATTTCAACCTTTAGCTCTATTTTGTCAGTATCGTGCTGTTTAAAATGTCATTAAAGCCATTAACAATTAATGAAAAATCCACTCGTGGTTTATGTTCGAATTTTGAAATACATTGTAAAAACTGTGGGAGTATTTGTACTTTTTCAAGTTGTGAAAATACTGGGAATAAAAATAATGCTCCAGAAATTAACAGAAGGTCTATTTTAGCAATGAGATGCATATGTCAATGTTTAAAGTCATTAAAAACCTTTTGTGCTGTAATTAGTCTTCCTAATCCTGTTGAAAGAAAATCATATGATGTTATTAATAATAAACTTTCACTTGTTATGAAGGAAGTCGCCGAAGAAAGCATGAACAGGGCAGCTGTCGAAGAAAATTCTTCGTCACCTGATAACATTTTAACGGTAAGGGGTGATGGGACCTGGAAGACGAGAAAACATTCATCGTTGATTGGAGTATGTACTCTAATGGTGCCGAAACAGGTAAGGTTTTGGATAGGGAAGTGTTGTCCTCATTTTGCAAAGGATGTGACAGTTATAAAGGGGTAAAGTTTGGTATCAAGTACAATAAATGGCAAAGAGCGCATAAGATTTCATGTAGAAAAAATTATTCTGGCTCTGCTGGTAAGATGGAGGTTGACGGGATGTTGAGTATTTTTAATCGATCAGAAAAGCTTCACAACCTGAAATATTCGAACTACATAGGAGATGGCGACACAAAAACATTCAATGCCCTTTCTGAACGCTGCGAGAAACGATTTTCAAAACTGAGAGCAAACAGCTCACACACACACACACTTTTGAGTACTTCACATTCTCAAAATAGCTCCGATGCATGCGTACTCAAATTTGAGAATCGCATATTCTCATACTGAGCAACAAGTACATTCTCATTTTTGAACCTCTTACGGGATCAAATTTTTGAGAATGAAAGATCGAAATGAGAATATAATGCACTCATTTTTGAATTTGTTAATGTATCAAATATGAGTTTAAAACAATAAAATGAGCATGTTTAGCATTCATTTTCGATACTGTTGAATCTAATATGAATTTTTAACAGAAAAATATTTATTATCCCAAATCTTAAGGGATTTAAAAATGTGATACCTGAGTTGTGTAAATTTTCACTTTCTTCATCTTACGTATTATTTTATTTTCATTTCATGAAATTTTTACACAACTTCGAAATCAAAATTCTTTTTACATTTATTGTGTGTAACAAAAAGGTACCCACGTATTATCGCGAAAGTGCCTAAGTTAAAGATAACTCGCCAAATTGGCAGTAACGATTTCGCATGTGTCGTACGCGCTGAATTAGCAACCATGTACTTTGTTTTATACAATGTCGCCAATACGGTAGCGATAATACACAAGTATCAACAAAAATATTACTTTTCGAAAGAAAAAAAATGCAACTATTATTTTATCACAAACTGCATGTCTTCAAACTTTCACCGCAAATATAAATCTTTGAAAATTGCAAAAATAAATTCGATGCTATAGCTAAACAAATGTGTTTGCATTTTGAACTAGTTCCAGAAGCAATTTGGTTCATTATTTATATTTATATATGTTTCTCTCTCTCTCTAGAAGCATTATATTGTTTCCTTAAAATCATATACAAGCAGAAAAAATTAACTTTTATTTTAAAAAATTCAGCCCTTCAATAATAAGTTATTAGAATATCTAGGAAACATTATGATAAATAACAGATTTTTCAAAGTAAAAATTTCAAAACAATGCCAGAAAGAAATAGCTTTTTTATATATTATGTAACCTGAAGAAAAAAACCTTTTGACTAAATTAACACTCATTAGGCCCAGGTGTGTAAGTACTCTTTATATAAATTGTTTTGTTTAAATAGAAACACATCCATCCAGATGGAAATAAAGAAAATGCATTGCTATATAACATATTAGGCTCGTTTTTTGTTAAATCAACTGATTTTACACTCTCCTTTTACCAAAGAAAACAAATAATATAGTTTTTAAGTTAATGTTTTTTTTAAATTAAAATATTTAAAAATTTCAGTCCTTAGAAGAATGTAAAAACAACTAAAACAGTACATTTTTGCATTAACAAAACATTTAGTTTTTAACAAACTAGAAAGAATTTTTAGAGAAGTTTTCAGCACCCATTTAGAAGAAAAAATAACATCATAAGGACCAATAGAATCATAATTTAGCCATTTTACTCGTACAGCATTTTATTTTCAATACTTTTTTTCAATTATTCACTGTTAACAAGAAAAATAAAACAAACCAAAATCATATTGTTGAAATATTTATTCTGGAAATTGTACACATACATACATATACATTAAAAAATAAACAAGATTATAAGTGAGATTTTTGAAACATGTTTTGTTCAATAAGTTATTTTTTTATTGATTTTTTTTATAAACACTATCTAATCTATATTATAGTCAACTCCATCCTTATTTGTACAGAACAGCTGTTTTAATATAATATACATTGAATTATCATTTTAAATATAGGTTCTAGTGTATAAAAGTAAATAATTAAACAGCTTTTTTATTTTTTTTTTATCAAATCATGTCTTTGAGTTATTAAATGTGAGTGAAAATGCCTTTCAAACAGTGTTGTTTCAAATAAATTACATGTTAGGATATGCGAGTCATCTAAATTATTTACTGAAGAATTTATAAATAGCTGATTCTGAGAGGAATTTTGAAATTTTCCTCATTAGAGTAAAATTTTTACAAATGTTGTTCATAATTATATAGTTTTCTAAATGGCTATCTACAAAATTTAGCATAACACATGTAGTGTTATGCTACGCCCATATGAGTATTTAGAACATGACGACAAAGTCTACAATGGGAAACCAATGGTCTTTGGCAGAAAGTGCAAAATGTATGAAATTCATAGATTAGTTTTTATCCATAAATATATACATATAAAAAAAATTCAGAGCTATGTGCAAAATTTAAAACAAA